CAGGCACCATGCCAAGTGCTTCCAACTGTTACCTGCTTTAGTCTCACACGAGCCCCGGGAGGAAGATCCTGGTGTGGCCCCGGTTTACAGATGAAAAGGTGAAACAACCTGCTCGGGGCTGCACACAGCAGCGAGTCCAGGCCTCTGACACCAAAGCTTACGAACGACCCTGGCCATGACGCCTGTGCGTGGCTTCGCATGGCCCCTTCCTGTCCTGGTTGCTCCCAGCCCACCTCCTGCCCAGCCCGTGTCGCTTTTTCTTCTCTTTCTCCTCTGCTTTCTGAAGATCCACTCCTTCACCCCTTCCTCCTCCTGCCCATATTCTTTTTCTCAGGGGCGGGAGAACACAGTCGTTATGACTGGGTGCCTGCTTCAGATCCCAAGTCACCCTCAGGCTCTCTCTGACCCTGGGCCTCTGTGGACCTAGCTCTTAGAGTTGGCACAAGGATTAATAACATAACCTACGTAAAGCCCTGAGAACAGTGCCAATACACTGGAAGGCTCACTGAATACTATCAGTATCATCAGCGAGCCCATCTATTCTTAAGACTTTGAGTGGCCACTACCTGGCTGATGACTCCTTAAATTCAGCGTAAAAACAATAATAAAACCGCTGATTTTAAACCCAGAAGGGAGCCCGGGCAGATGTAGCATGTGTTTGTCACAGCTCATACCGGTCTGGTGCATTAGAGTTTACACAAGACCCTCACACACATCCCATTCCCAGAGAGGGACGGTGAAGCTCAGAGGTGGTCAGGATTCGTCCAAGGAACTCCTGTCGCCTGCCTACTGTGTGTTAGGCTCTCGGTTTACCACATTAGGTGTGTTCCTACAACAACCCTGTAGTAAAGGTAACACAGTGTCCCCCATGTTCACACAATGCCTAGCACACAGTAGGCACACTTTCAGTAGTCTTGAATGATGCGTGATTGAGGCTCAGACAGGAAAAGCGATTCATCAAGTCACAGCCAAGTGCAGAGGTGAGGATTTGAACCCAGGCCTGCCTTATGCTCTGCCCATTTCTGATCTCCTCTGCCCAGGGCTGAGCATCCAAGAGTGGGGCCCTGCTGGCTGAGGACACTACGTATCCCTCACTAACGCTCTCCTCCATTTTCCCCAGCAAGGGTTTGGGAACATTGATGGCGAGTACTGGCTAGGCCTGGAGAATATCTACTGGCTGACGAACCAAGGCAACTACAAACTGCTGGTGACCATGGAGGACTGGTCTGGCCGCAAAGTCTTTGCAGAATATGCCAGCTTCCGCTTGGAGCCCGAGAGCGAGTATTACAAGCTGAGGCTGGGGCGCTACCATGGCAATGCTGGTGACTCCTTTACCTGGCATAACGGCAAGCAGTTCACCACCCTGGACAGAGACCATGACGTCTACACAGGTAGGACCCATACAGTCAAACCCAGGTGCAGGCCAGGGCAAAGAGGTCGGTCAAAGCCAGAGCTTCTGAGTCACAGCCTGAGAAGAGGAAGGTCCCAGAGCCCAGAAGGCCGACCCTGTTGCTACTCCCTGAAAACCCACTCCTCTGCCCACCTTCACAAAGGTGGATCAGAGGGGCATTAACAAAAAGGGAACGGCAAAGAGGTGTACAAATTACACATTTGTGGGCCCCTCAGGGCCAAGCCTTCACATCACCTCTCTGCCGAGGCACCAGGTGTTCAGGCCACACTCTCCACGGACCCTGGGCCACACACCTGGGTAATAATGCTGGCCCTGCCTCCTACCAGTCATGTGTCTTTGGGCATGCTGCTTACTAATCTCTCCGGGCCTTGCTTCCACATCGGGAAATAAGGACAATGCCTGCCTTGCAGGGTGGTGAGAAGGTTAGAGGATGTACCTCAAGTGCTTTGTCTCAGACGTGGCAAAGAGGGCTCAATCCAAGTGGGCGGTCTTTGTGGTTACTATTATTAGCGTGTGTTATTAACACAGTGTAGTAAGGGAGCTATTAAGAGGAAACCAGGTAGGAGACATGAAGTGATTTGTCCAGGGTCATATGCCTCAAAGCCAGGTCTTTACTAGGAAGGCTTTATTAAATAAAAAACAAGGGGGAAAAAAACACAGAATATTCTAAGAGACACACATACATACAATCCAGCCCTGAGTCCAGATGTCAACCTCCCACAGTTAAGCCTCTCCAGGCCCCACACCCAGTTTCCTGAGATGAGGGCCTCTGCACCCCAGCTGCTTGGCAAAGCCAGCAAGGCACTGCTCCTGTCTGAGGGACCAACCCTACCTCCAGACCAAGGATGTCTGTTATCATTGGGCAAATCTGGCCCCCTCCCTGCCCCCTGGTCTGCAGGCCACTTCCCTCCTCTTTAAGGTCCCAGGAACCACTTGCATTTTTCAGGCAAGCTCTGTACCTACATATTGAGGAGGGAGGTCCTCACTCTAGGTCCCCATGGCAGCCACACTCTAGCAGGCTGTTCTCACAACACTGGGGGACATGCAGTTACCTCCACCTGCTGGCTGGCACTGAAGGGGCCCCTGACGAGACAGTATGCCTTCTTAGGCAGGGTTATAGAGGCTTCTAGAAGAGCAGGGCAGGAAGGGGACCCTTGGAGCTAGTCAGATTCTGGGGACACTGGGACTGCTACAGCATCTCGAGGGCCATCGTGGATAGGAGGGAAAAGACTGTTCTATGACCCAAACCGTCAGGCCTGTGCAACAGCACCGTCAGTGGCTGGCAAGGAAGTGAGCTCCTTGTCCCTGGAGGCATGCAGGTCAAGCTCAGGAGGGGCCTCCACTCACACGGGACGCTGGCTATGGCATGCCAAGGGCTCTCTCTGCTCTCCAAACCCAAGCACTGCCATTTGGTCCCTAGCCTCGAGTGACAGCCTAACAGAGCCCAAGGAAAACTCTGGGCTGGGCTGCAGGGGCTGCGGGTGCCTGAGCCCATTCTCCCCTGAGCTTTCTGCCTCGGCCAGCCTGCAGCCTCCTTACCACATCCCAAGGCCTCAGCGGGAGCAGGGCCACCGGCCCCATTGGGCGCCAGCCCACAAACCTGACCGAGGCAGCCCTTCCTCTGAGTGGGGGTCCACTTCTCAGGCCTGCTCAGGAAACCGGGGACCCTCTCTTTTAACTAAGAGCAGCCCAAGCAGCTGGCAGCTCCTCTTCCGCTTCCTCCCTGAGAAGGCCGATGCCCCTGCACGCCTGCTTGCACCTTGCCCACACTTTCACTGTTGTTCCGAACTGCTTGTCCTTGGCAGCAAAATCCAGCATGATATGATAGTGCCAGAAGTTTTATGAAAATATCTTTCTTTTGTGAAATCATAAAAAAATACTTGGCTGGAATACAGGCTGGGAGGAACAGAGGAGCATTTCATCTTAAACACTTCCTTTGTCATTCTATAAAAATCTTGATCCAACAGTTGCAACTCTTAAAAAATTCCTCAGAACACTTTGGCCGCTCCCCCGCCCACCCCAGGTCATTTCTGCTTCCTATTCAAACCTCCCTGGGGCGCTTCCTCTGCACCAAGCCCCGGGCTAACTGCTTAACTATGCGCCCTCCTTCCATCACCACACAGTCCTGTGCGGGAGGCACCACGCTTACCCTCATTTCACAAGGACAATTCGGTGGCCCGATGAGTTCGCTGGTCACAAGGCCGAGCCTCAAAGGTTGGAGCAAATGTGAGACCTGGCCCACCCCTCAAGCATTCCTGCTCCAAATGCCCTCTCCCCCACCTTCCCAGAGGGCCCTGCTAAAGGCCCTAAACAAATGGCAGCCTTGGATACAACTGCCTCCTCCCTGTGACCTCCTCCCTTGTCTCCCGCAGGAAACTGTGCCCACTACCAGAAGGGAGGCTGGTGGTATAATGCCTGTGCCCACTCCAACCTCAACGGGGTCTGGTACCGTGGGGGCCATTACCGGAGCCGCTACCAGGATGGAGTCTACTGGGCTGAGTTCCGAGGAGGGTCCTACTCACTCAAGAAAGTGGTGATGATGATCCGGCCCAACCCCAACACCTTCCACTAAGCCAGCTCCCTCCTGACCTCTCACGGCCATTGCCAGGAGCCTGACCCGGCCATGCTGGCCCCGGCACCAGGAACAACTCCCCGCCAGTTCACCTTGGGGCCGGGAGGATGGGGCCGCCGGATTCTGTTTACCCGATCGCTGCGGCATTTGATGGAATGGAATCAATACAGTATCCTCTGTCCCTACTGCTTTTCTTCACATCAGACAGACCCTCATGTTTCCACACAGGACAGAACTACAGACAAGTCCTTCTTTAAATACATTAAATCCCTACAATGAAAACCCAACTGCAAAATACCTTCGTAATATACATACGCATGAGCTGAGCTTATGCACATGTGTGTGTACCACATATATATGCATTTAGATATATACCACGTGTACTATATCTAGACACGTATATAGGTTTGGTTATATACCTAAATGCACAGACATTCAATTCTCAGATGTTGAAGTTGTTACCAACAGCTTTCCTCTTCGGCGAAAAGCACTGCATTCACATGGTGTTGCTCGAATCTGAGAGCAGATCACAGGCTATGTAGCTCTAATTCAAAGAATAACCCTTGGTGTCCACGTGCCTGAATTTTTCCAGGAGTGTCTACATGCTATTCACTCACATAGGGGTTCCCTGCTTCCTCGCTAAAGAACCCTTTGGGCACCTGATCAAATTTCAACATCCCCTTCCCTCTCCATTTCTATACTTTCCCCCATTCTCAGGATTTTTTCTCCATCCATCCATCCATCCAACCATCTATCCATCCACTTGTTCATCCAACACCATTCAGGAAGTACCTTCTGTACCAGTCGTTGGCCACTCACTGAGGTTCCAGGCACCTTCTCTGCTCTTCTCTACCCTTCATACCCACTCCTTACCTTTTCTGTCATATCACCCTTTCTTTCCAGGCAAGCCTCTGAGTAGGAGACAGTTTGGGCTCCAGGTTTCTGGTCAGGAAAGGGAAGGCCAGGCCCCAAAGCTAACTCCCGGCCACGTAGATGATGTACTCGCAGTTTTGTATGTTCCGTTCACACTTTAGCCTACATGTCATTTTAACCGTCACAGAAATAATAACCTACCTTGCCCAGGAGATACTCAAGTGAAGAGAAGTCATCCCCCGATCATTGGGGCCCCCGAATGGCTACAGACCAAAGGTCCCGTGCTCTCAGGCTGACTAGAGTCCGCATCTCGTCCCCAAACTACACTTCTCTGGAGTACAGGTGCCACAAAAATGACAACTGGCCGCTTCTCGTGAGCTCCTGAATAACCAGGAGCCACCGGACCCCTTGGCTGGTGCATTGCAGCGTGGTGGCTTTCTGAGTCCTGTTGGCCGCGAAGTGTCAGACTCAGTACTACCGGGACTCTTCTTGCCAAGCAGGGAGCAAGAGAGGAGTCAGGAAGGTGAGACCGTCCCCGGTGGGCGTGTGAATGGGGGTGTGTGAGATGTTGGAACGTTTGGTACTGTCCATGTCCGGGTGTGTGCCTATTACCTCAGCATTCCCACAAAGTGTACCATGTAGCATGTTTTGTGTATATAAAAGGGAGGGTTTTTTTTAATATATTCCCAGATTATCCTTGTAATGACACAAACCTGCAATAAAAGCCATCAGTGCTATTTGGACGTATCTACACTGTGTGTTACTGTTTTGGAATGCCTTCCTGGGGCCTCTTCTATCAGAGTCTCTTTGAGTAAGACTAGATACAGATTCAGCACCAAGGACATACACCAAAATCTTTTACATCACACTCTCCCTATCTTTGGTTTCCACGTACACCATCAGGAGGCCCAAGACAGCACCCCAGGCCATGAAGGCTCTCTGGGGCTTCACTTTCTTACAGCCATGTCCTGGATATCTTCACTGAACGTCCCAGAAGCACCTCCTAGACAGTGCAACCAACCCCTGAAACACCTTCCCCCAGGTCTGGGCCCATGTCACCAAAAGGCACCATTTATCAATTACTCAGGTCAAAAACAAGAATTTCTCCCCTTACCACACCAACGCCAATCCATCCATCCACGAAAGCCCTTTTCTCTGCCTTCGTGTCTCCTCTCCCCTCAACTACTACAACAGGCTTCCCACCAGACCGGGAGCCCTCTGCCTCCCTCCCTCATTCCAATCTGACTTTCACATCAGCTGCCAGAAAAACACAACTGTGGGCTGGGAAGTCATCTCTAGGCATGGCAGGAAACCCCAAAGCCAAAAAGGAAAAGATTAAGGGATATGACTAAAGAAAACCCCAAATTTTCTGCCCTCTGAAAAATAACAGATGACCAAGGCTGAAGGCAAATATCAAATAAGAAAAATAAAGGATCAATATTCATGCTATCTCAAGAACTCTCTTAAATCAAGAAGAAAAATACAGACACCATGACAGAAAACTTCGTTAGGCACACGAACACATTAGAACACAAATGGCCAATAAGGAAGAAAAGGTGCCAACCTCAGTAATAACCAGAGAGGGAGGGATACTAAGTCAAGCACAAACCATCACAAGGTGCCTATCAGATTTGTAAAGATGAAAAAAATCTCCATGTTGACAAGGGAATGGAGAAATACGTACTTTCTGTACTATGGGTGGAAGTATAAATTGATTCAACCTGTTTCAAGGGCAACTTAGCAACGTGTATATCAAACATGGATATACGTATGCATCAAAACTTTTAAAATGCTTATACCTTCGGACCCAGCAATCCCTCTTCCCAATGACTTAGCAATAGTGCCACATGAGAGCTGCTTCTAGCAAAGATGTAGTTGGGTAGAGACAGATATTTACTACACCCTACTACGTGCTTGGAATTGGACTTCTGTTTTCTTATGTAATGCTCACAGCACCCAGGTGAAGAAGGGATTGTTCTCACCTCACAGGAGAGGAGGAAATGAGGCTCACAGTCAGACAGCTGGTAAAAATGCCCTAGCAGCAGTTAATCTGGAAGGTGCTGGATGTCAGGCACTAACTAAGAGTTCTCAGCTCCCTTCTCCCAAACCTCTAGTAGGCTGCCGAGGTCATCAGTTGTTGTACCCGATTTGGTGTGTTTGGGGAGAATACCTCAACCTTGGCCCAGGCCTCCCCACACACCTGGACTGGTGTGTCCAGGATGGAAGGATTGATGGTTAAGGAAAACAGGGTCCATCCAGCCTTACTGGTCACTGGTCGTGGGTCCAAACCCCAAAGCGAAGAGTTCTGGAAAGCCATGCTGGACAACGTGGAATAACCCTTTTTCTAGACTAGCTGTGACCCAGACAAAAGCAGGCCGAGACACCAGCTATTTCTCCCAACCCCCACCCCAAACCCAAACCTGAGTCAAACCACACCCTGGCTATATGGAAGGAGAGGTAGGAATAAACCCATCAGACATGTGGAACTGGCTCTCCTTGGTGTAAAATGGGGGTTTGGCCGACAGCATTGAAGAAGAGAATGGGGGTCGGGGGTGGAGGGGGGGATGCTGAAGAGCTGTGCTCAAGTGCATGGTGCCGTAGCGCCTGGTGTGTGGCTCCACCGGCCAGCAAACACAGCCAGGTCCCTGAGGTCTGCCCAACTCAGACCAGCACCTGTCCTTCCTCTCCCATCGCAGCCAGTGGCCTTTTAAGGCCTGCAGGCGTAGGAGCCCTACTGTCACTGAGGTCTCCATGGTGAGGGTACCTGCAGACCCAGACTTTCTCTGATCCCAGCCAAGCCCCCACACTCCAGTTTGCACCAATACCTTGGTCGCTGGGGGGCACCGACCTGCTGGGCTTATGTGGGAACACGGCAGGAAGACAGTGATGTTCTTCAAGCAAGTGACACTGAGCAGGATCCCCTCCCCCAAATCTTGCAAAATCTTGCCAATTTGAGCAAGACTGAAAGAGAAGCCTTTGGACTACCGAAAACAACAGTATTGGGAGTCTAGGATGCTCACAATTTACAGATGGTCCTTGGGAGCTCAACGGGGTCCTCTCTGATCTGAGACCACCTCATCTGTTATATGCAGGCTTGCAAAGACTCTAGGCTATAGTATGACAAAGCCAGGCAACTGGATTAAACAGAAAGGGCACGTTTCAAGGTAACAAAATGTTAAAAAGGCACTCTTTCGGCCTTAGTTTTATCTGAGACTCCAGAGGCTAAGGGCAAAATAATAGCTTCCAAGTGTCCCACATCCTAGAGCAAGGTGCAGGACCATCACTATAGGGGGTGACTCCAAAAGGATTCTACAACATTAGCAGATTGCCCTTCTGCAGCCTGTGTGAGAGGTGCAGGAAAAATACCCTGGGGTGGGGGGAATGAGCTGTCCTTGTGATATGCTCCCTGGCCACCACCACCACACGGAGGGTGGGTGTTCCCCCGACCCTAAATCAAGTGAGAGGGCCTTCGAGGGACCATTCCAGAGGTTTGGCATAAGCACTAGTACCAGACTCGGGCCTCAAGTCTCCAGACCTGCGGCAGAGAGAAATGAGACCACGCTGGAGCAAATGGCAAGCCCATCAGGGGCTGCGGGGGAGGCAAGGATATGGTTTCCTAGGAACCAGAGGGCAGCTGGGGGGGTGGGGTGGGGGGAGACAGTGCAGGAGGCCCAGGAGCCAAGGAAGGAGCCATAAGTGTTGAGGTGGAAAAGATGTATCACAGGTCACGGCAACTGAGTCAGAAGTGCCCAGAAGGGAAATTCTGCAGCAGCAGCAGCAGCAGCAGCAGCAGCAGCAGCAGCGGGGGGTAAAGAGTGTGGGTGCTTGGGCTTCTGGTGCAAGCTCTGAATCACGACTGAACTGGCCACGTAAGATGGGCCCTGACCCCTCACTTTTCCCCTCTCCCCTGTTCCAACCCCGAGGCTCACAAATCTCAGTGGGCAAGCGGGAGGCAGGAGGGTTGTGGGGGCCAGTGACAGTGCTGACCGTGGGCCCTCCCCCACCCCAGGCCTCCAGGCCTCTGGTCCAGGCGTTAGGGAGTCCAGACCTCTGGTTACTGCACCGCACTGTGTGCAGTGACCGGATGGTTAAAGCAGACTCGGCTTCTTCATGCCGAACGCCAGAAAGACGAAGGGGACGAAGGGGCTTGCTAAGTCTCCAGCGTCGACCGGGAAAAGAGCTAGTCCACAGGGTAAGTTGGAAAGGACACGGGGGAAAAAATTAAGTTGGTTTCTTCTTACACCTGACTGAGTCCAGCTCATTTAATAAGCTGGTTACATAAGGACACGAGGTATCTCCCAGAGTCCATGAGCAGGGACGCAGCTGGGCCTCACGAGGGCCAGGAACCAGAAATGGCCTGGAAAGCCTTCAAGAGGCAAGGCAGCAGCTCTCCCAGCCTCCCCCACCCCCCCTCCTTTTCCCTTTCCCTTGCGCGCAGGTCTCTCTGTTTCTCATTGTGCGTCCATCTGCTTTTCCCAGCACGGAATTCCTGAGCTCACATGTTCTGCTGGTCTCGGTGCCAGCAGAGACTGACGAGCACCCTCCCTTCCAGTGCAGACTCCCAGCCCGCTGGGGCCGGGTGTCCACCTCAAATCGATCAGCTCTGGCTGGAACGAACACTGCTGCCGGAGTTCAATGCTGTGGGGGCAGTTGGGGGGGGGCGGTTCTCAGGTTCCCAGAGAAGGAGGGGTCTCAGCCTGGATCTATATCCAAAAAGGTGTCTACACTGTACTTCAGCTGCTGTTAATTCCCCTCCCCTCCAGAGACTGTATTTTGCCAGCTGGGTGGATTCTGTCCCACTAGCCATTAGATGGTGTCTGCTCCTCAGTCCCTCCCCCTGCCCACTCCTGCTCTACCCCACAAAGCATATGCAAACCTTCCAGGCCCTGCTGGGTCACTAAACGTGACACCTGGCTGTGCCCAGATGCGGCTCTTCCTGCCCTTCCTGGGTTTGCTGACCTTCTCAACAGTCTCTGTGGATACAGGAGGCAAGGAGGTCCCCACTGCTGGAGTCCTCCTGCAGGGTTTTGCTCTGGATTACACTCATGCCATCTGCCATCTACGGGGTGCTTTCTGTGTACCAGGCACCATGTATGTCTCTTTAAATCTCATAACAGGGGGCACCTGGGTGGCTCAGTCGGTTAAGCATCCAACTCTTGACCTTGGTTCAGGGCACGATCTCACGTTTTCGTGGGTTCAAGCCCTGCGTTGGGCTCTGTGCTGAGCCTGCTTGGGGTTCTCTCTCTCTCTCTCTCTCTCTCTCTCTCTCTCTCTCTCTCAAAATAAATACATGAACTTTAAAAAATAAATAAATAAATCTCATAACACACCTACGAGGTGGCTCCTCTAATTGCACTCCCTTTATCTAACAGACATCAAGGCTCAGAGATGCGAGTGACCCACCCAACAACATGCAGCCTGAGCCTCTCAGGATTTGCACTCCTGCTTCTGCAGCATTACATCACAACCCACAAGGGCAAAATGAAACAACCAATGCCCTTGTCTCATCCCGTCATCGCCCCCCAAACACCTGAGAATCCTGGCGGCCTCCCACCCACAGCAGCAGTTATGTGAGCTAGCCAGCCAGCCTGTCTGTGCAGAAGTAACTGGACGGACAACAGGTCCCCCGATGTCAGGAAGCCAGTCCAGGGCTCTTTGCCTGACTTATCTCAGAGCAGTGGGCCCAGCGTCTTGGGGCTTCCAACCCTGTGCCAGGGCTGAAAGCTGTGCCCGCCCTTCTTGCTTCCGCTTGTCCTCCAACTGACAGACTCAGCCCCAACCTCTGGCAGTCACGGTGTTAACCTGTGGCTGCTCTGGCTGTCACTTGTGCACAAATCCTACCTGGTCCGAGCCCTGGGCCACACCATCTGGTAGCTGGGTCCCCGTTATGGTGGCTCATCTCCCATGTCCATGCCTTCAGGCCTGGGGCTTCCTTACCTAATCTCTCTCAGATCCAGAGTCAAGCTCGACCCAGGCCTATCTGAGATTCTGCCATTGTGGACACAAGGCCTTGGTACCAACCATCACCCAGACATTCAAGTACCCCCATCTCTCCTGACGTAGGGCAGCCTGGGTCAGCTCAGCCCACACATGAGAACACAGACACAGATAATCACTCCCATCTGTGCAGCTTTCCCAAAGCACTTCCACATGTGGTAGCTCCCAGGTGGGCGGGCCATCCGGCTGTCCCATCCCCTGCTCACCCCTGGTCATGATAAACCTGGCTCTATGGGCTGGCCAAGGGACACTCCCTTC